CGTGCAAATGCAAGAGATCTGTGAGTATAGAAGACAATGGAAATAGTTTGAAAGCTCACGAGTTTTATCTACATTATCTAATATTTTAGCACACAATTGAGGCTAACACAGTGTAAAAGAGATCGCGAAACTCGACTATTTCCGTACCATCTTTTTTTCTGATTCAATACACCAGGAGGGTGTCCCGACCTCAGTCAGGATTTAGGTCTTATTAACCTAGCGCGAGGTCTGTACGGGAGAATCTTGACTGAGGTCGGGAACTACAGACCAAGCGCAGCGAGGTCTGTACCCGACCGAGGCTCCTAGTTACACGGTCATATAATAATCTCCCGTACAGACCTCGCGCTCGAGCTCGGTTAATAAGACCTACATATTACATGCATCTGCGATCTCTGCAATAAAAAGAGTTTTTCAACACGAGCATACAAAATTCGTATCTCCCAGAAAAATGTAATATTCTGTATATCAAATAATTATATATGAAAGAAAATTATGTCGTAAATTACCTTTTTTAATTCCAATAAATAGAGACAAATCGAAAGGGAGAATTAATAGAGGTATTTCATGGATAATTATAATGATAAATTCCAATATCAATTTTACACTAACTGCACACAAAGAAAAAAGATAAACAAAGCCGGCGTTTTAATTAAGATTTGTTGCTCTCAGGTGATCTGGCCAAAGAGAGAAGTTTCTTCTGTGATATGATTGTCGATTGGTCGATTCAGACAAAAAACAACTTTAACCTTATTGTAAGTACATTCTACAGCAATAAACTCCAGTTTCGAGATCTTATTAATGCAGATTTAACCTCATTATTTTATTCAGCAGAGAATCTATTGTAATGTAGATACTCTGTGTACCAAGGGGACAATAAAAATTATATATAGAAATAAAGGTAAGGAATAGTGCCTAATTAGAAGGAGGTTATTCAGGGAGAAAGACCTCTGGAAATAAATTCAGAAAAAAATCAATTTCCGACCTCGCTGGAATTAAGAAATTTCGAAACCGGAGCATTGTTAAGGTATTTCAACATCAATTCTTATTACTAATTATACAACTCACAAACTTTCAAGATAAAAAAAATTCTGCCTTTATATAGCGAAGAGTGAAAAAACCTTCCTCGTTAACTTGACAGACAAAAACCACAGAAAATCAAGCCGCCAATGGCGACACAACTCGAAGATTGTTAGACAAGTATACCGTGGGCGTAAATCTATATGAAGCCTCAGACTTTGTTTAGATGTGGTCTAATTTCGACAAAAAATCTATAAAATAAAAATATCGAACTTGAAATTTTGAATTTAATAATTTATATGCATCCGTAACACCTTAACGATATCGACAATGAATTATCAACACCATCACAATTTCATAGTTTGAAGTGATGATACTTTCACTTTGAATGCTGACCGTTAAAATTTATATTTTGCGTTCTTACTTGTTGTAGTGTTGTCCGTGCATGGATTTTTTACGAAGGTTAAAGTTTATATAAATCGATGAGCATTAAATACTGATCGACATGGATCGGAATAATCCTTGAAATCATCGTAATAGAATTAATGCTGTATCTATGAGACATATTGACACGATATCTCCTAAAACGACTTCTGAAATCAACAGATTAATTGGTAAGAAGCTTATACAAGAACGTCCAGACCTCAATAAAATCAAAACACCTGGCCATCTTGGTTACGGATTTCTAAATGCCCGTATGTTTACAGAAAAAAATAAGTGACYTATTAACTAGTCCATCTCACCTCACACACCATCATCTATCTCCCTCCTATAACTTTTCGATTGCTTCGCAATCTTCGAGTTAAAAACCCTACAAAATTAGGTATTGTAGTATTTCTATTTCTGACCTTCAAAAAATATTTCGAAAATTTCACTTAGCACATAAATGAATACTTTATTGAAGTTAATATTCCACAAGATGAAAAGAGCCCATTCCTGTTAGCAATTTTGTAATTTAGGAAAAATCGAGCGAAGAGAACTTGTAAGTTTGATATTTCCAAAGACATGACCGTGGTGAGCATACTCTTGATGATTTTCTTTTGTTATGGTTTTAGTAGGTTTGAAAAGCCAATATCTTGAGAGATAAAAAGACGTTCGACACAAAATTTTCAGGCTTTTTGTTTTTCCACGTTTGGTTTTTTTATTTAATATTTCGATGGTTTAGCCAAAACCCTTACGTCCATGAAGTCAAAACAACAACAACAACAACAACAACAACAACAACAACAAAAACAAAAAAAACAAAAAACAGTTATGTAAAAAGATAAATTAAACACCGTAAAAAAGTATGTGGAAAAACTTACTGACGTTTCGGATGTTAATCCTTCGTCGGAGTAAAAAAAAACATTGTTTTGTCGTGCAGTTGTGGAGCTCTATCCCACGAACTGCAAGGCAGCGTCTATAGGTCTACCTAATACTGCAATATATATATATAGGCTGCTGCCGATGAATGTGCGATTGTTAGTGAGAAAATCTCTCTTAGAAAGCAATTCAAAATTCCAAACGTTTACCTATACATAAAAAGCGAGACCAAGATTGCTATGTAGTTTAGCTAAATAAGTTGAATGTCGTTCTAACAAGAAAAAAGGTTTTGTGCTAATTTTCTCTTGGAAAATGTTCCATTGATGGCTTGCGACACTCATTTCTACTGAAAATAATCACAGAAAAATTATAATAAATATATAATAAATTTAGTGGATCGAGAGAGATCTAAATTCAATATCTTCCTGAACCTTTAGAACCTTCCTGAACCTTCAATCTCGGCGAGCCTATAGAAACTGTCCATAAAGTTTAATCCATACGAAGCTAAAAAAATAAGCTCTTTGTAAATCCAAAGTCTGAATGAATTAATGATAATTGGCAAGCACTCGGAAGGCCTTCGGGAAATGTTACTGATCGATATTATTTATTAATTAATTTTTGGCATAATAAGCAAGACTATAATTTGGTAGGAAATTTGCTTTGATTCATATCTTGCCTAGTCACATGACTTTTAACTCCCTGAACCCGTTTAAGAGGCTCCCTGAATCTTCAAAAAATGTATTCTTCGTTTTCAATATATGTCACAGCGGTTGAACTTCTACAAAGGATTTCTCATTAGCATCTATTGTTCATTCAACCAACATGAATAATCTTAAAGTGAACATGAACCCTTTTATAAAACCATTTCATTCGAAAGAGAACTATGGCGAGCCAAACATATATATGTATATATATGAAGTATATGTTAAAATATACTTCAAACGCTGTACTTAAATTTGATAAACCACGAAAATCTGCAGCAGTTTGTGACAGCACAGRAGGTAGACCAGCCTACGTCATTTCTAAAGAACAAATAGAAACATTGCGCGAGTCTGGGATGAACTGGAAAGGCATAGCAGCTTGTCTTGGAGTCTCTGAAAGAACTATTTACAGACGAAGAATAGAGTTTGGACTTCCTGACAATTTTACAGACATAACTGACGATGCTTTGGATGGCCATATTAAAAACACCCTTGAGTTAACACCATACAGTGGGGAGGTGTATGTGAGGGGTAGTATGAAGGCAAAAGGAATCAATGTGCCACGGTCACGAGTCAGAGAGAGCTTAAAAAGACTAGATGGTATTGGGAGGGCTGTAAGAAGACGATATGCTATCTGCAGGAGAAATTACAATGTKATTGCACCTAACCACCTATGGCATATTGACTCAAACCACAAGCTAATATCATGGCGCTTTGTCATACATGGATGTATTGATGGTTTCAGCAGGGCAATTATATACCTAAAGTGCTGCACAAATAACAAAGCAGATACAGTTCTTCAATTATTTGAACATGGAGTGTCAGAATTTGGCCTTCCAATTAGAGTTAGGGGTGATCATGGTGTAGAGAACGTTGATGTAGCAAGGTTTATGATCTTAAATAGAGGGCTCAACAGGTGCAGTTTTATAGCTGGAAGGAGTGTCCATAATCAGCGAATAGAGAGGTTATGGGCAGAAGTAAACAGAGTAAGCTCTGCTTTGTATAGGGATTTATTCCAGTTCCTTGCAAACAGTGAGACTTTGGATTCTCTTAATGAAATTGACTTGTATGCTCTTCAGAATGTATACTTACCTAGAATCAATGCATCATTGGAAGAGTTCAAAAGGCAATGGAATCACCATGTGATAAGAACAGCACACAACAGCTAAAGTCTACCCAATATACACTTCGAAAACTACATTTATTAATGTATACTGTGACATGACCTCTGAACCTGGAATGATTTGGACCCTCCTAGAGTCGTTTTCTCGGTCGAATAATCAAAAATATAAGCACACGCCTTTGAGCAAAGATTTYCCAGTTAACGAGAACAACTTTAACTGGACCGACTACCGCCTGTCACTCTCTGTCATGCAACACATCCAGAGTCACGCAACGCACTGGAGAGTGACTTGTAAATATGACAAGGACGGACTAAACAAAACTGACTTCCTTCAGAGTAGCATTCATGTCTTTGATATCCTCAAGAATCAAGCATATGGTTGTTATCGTGCAGATTACGCCAATGTTAGAGGTATCAGTTGCAGGGGTTGYACAGTGTTCATGAGGCAGACCTCCAACATGCATGCGAACGTGGATAGTTATTTTGGATCATTAAGTAATTATCACTGGAATCTTCGGCTTGATACAAGCACCAGCAAAAAAGTTGCTTTTAATTGTCATAGTTTGTATGGTTGTAAATATGATTACTGTGAAAATTTTGGGTATTACAACATCATCAACTCGAATCATCGGTGCAGCGCTGATCCGTCCGCTACTACCCAATGGTGGTTTGGAGCAGCTCGTTGAACAGAGCAGAACATGCTCATGTTGGGGGAAAAATCGTGTAATTCATTATTGCATGGTTTGGGAAGGGTGTGTGACGTGCCAGTATCATGCAATGCATAAAGCAAACGGTCAACTCCTAACGTCTTCCCAATATACACTTCGAAAAGTACATTTATTGATGTATACTGTGACATGACCTCTGAACCTGGAATGGTTTGGACTCTCCTAGAGTCGTTTGCTCTGTCGAATAATTATAAATATCAGCGAAAGCCTTTAAGCAAAGATTTCCCAGTTAACGAGCGCAACTTTAACTGGTCCGATTATCGCCTGTCACTCTCTGTCATGCAACACATCCAGAGTCACGCAACTCACTGGAGAGCGACCTGTAACTATGAGAAGGATGGATTGATTAAGACAGACTTCATTCAAGGAAGTATACAGGTCTTTGATGTTCTGAAGAATCACGACAATGCTTGTTTTCGTGTAGATTATGCCAATGTGCGAGACATAAGTTGCACGGACTGCACAATAAACATGAGACAGTATTTCCATCGGCATGTCAACGTCGATAGTTATTTGGGCACTAGAGATGGATGTGATCTTCAGCTCAATACAGCCACAAGCAAGGTAATTGACGGCAATTACTGTGAAAATTTTGGATATTACAACCACATTAATCCACGTCACCGATGCAGCGCTGATTCATCCGCTACTACCCAATGGTGGATTGGAGCAATTGCATCATAACGCTTTATTCATCATACAAACCAGCTTTTCGTCACGTTATACAAGGATCATGAGTGACACCGCGAAGATTTCGGCCACATGCATAAACTATTTACCGCAAAAATTATTAGTTTCCAGATGATTTTGTTAAAAGACACACTGGAGACACATACAAGTGACACAGCTAAAATTGTATTCAAAATAACACTTGCACAACAACTGTAACTCCAGCGGAGCATCCTTGAATCACTAACCACTGTTCATTATGAAGACATACCCTATATATAACCTGTATAACCTGCAGGAAACGCCTGACTAGCGTTCGTCTGTACCGGAAGAAACTTGTGAATGTCTCAGTTTTAATTCGTACATGATCGAATTGCTACATTACCACATTTACAATTCGAATTTTCACACATTTCTTGAAAAACCTCAAAGTTTCGGCGAGTTTGAATGTTCGAAAGTGTTTGAAACAAGAGGAAAATATAAAATAAATAAATAATA